TTTAGAATTGACTTGAAGAAAATTAAAATGATTAAAAAATAATAGTTTAGCTATTTTTCTATTTTTGCTTATATTTTACATTTTAATTGTTTTTAAATAGATATAGTTTGTATATAGTTTTTGTAGAATTTCTTTTAGGTATTTCCCATAATCTTTTTAGGCTAAATTTTTTAGTATAACTAGATACATATATTAGGTGCCCCCTTGATTTTTATACCAATTTTTTAGGATTTATTTTAGGTAGTTTAGTTAGAAACATTAGGCTAATCATTTAGGGTTGTGAATATAATATAGGTTTAACAAAGTAAGTTTATTTTGGGCTTCTCTAGGACAAATTAAATGATGGGACTATAGGGGTATTGAGGGTAAATAATAGATCCCTTAGAAAATGCTAAGACTTCCCCTATACTACTATTACTACTAGTATATTTTCTGTAATTGGTTGATTGTGTGGTGTGCCCTCTCTAGGGTTATTTGTTTGACTGTGTGTGGTATTGGGCCTGCTTGGGGTTTGGGTTTGAGCTGAAGACTTTGCTGATGAAGCCCATTGAAGACAAGGAATGAAGACCAATTTCCAGAGTGGATGAGGAGTATATCTTGCTGGTAGCTGTTGAAGGTTATAGGGTCTAGGAGTTAGGTAGAGCTCTAGAATAGCAACTTGATTCACAAACATGGAAGGTCTTGTTTGCCTCCATTCTTTCTCTATGATTCAAAGTCTCTTTTAAATATACACCTCCTTCCTTTGGAAGGATTAGTGAATGTATTTAAAAGATAGAACTTTTGAGAGAACACTGTCAGTATCATGTTAACAGTCAGTAGGCCACCCTTGGCAGGCAACTGATTGCTTAACATCTTATTCATCTTGCTGACTGCTGCTCATCTTGGAGAGTGAGACTGAAAGAAAAGCCATTGAAAGATTGAAGATAGAGACCTTGCTTGAAGGCTATGAAGATGAGGTCTGATGCTTGCTTAGAGCTTGTAGATGGCTGAAGATGGCTTAAAGACAAATGAAGATGAAGACTGCTGCTTGCTGTTTATTTTTGCTGTTTATAATTTGTGATGTATTGTTTGAATTTCCCTGACTGTATTGTTTGCCATTAATCTGTTAGGTTGAAAGCGAATTTTGTTCGCTTTTGCCTGTTGTTTTCTAGGTTCGAGGTTGAGTGGGACTCCCTTGCCTCGCTTGTATTGCTGCATCCATGCATTTTACTGCTTTATTGTATATATGCTATTGTTTCTGTTTCCGTCTATTCCCTTAGGATCTCTGTTTCTCTCTGTGCAAGAGAGGAACATGATAGACATTAGGTCTTAACCCATGCATGATAACATTAGGTTAGTTTGATTCCCTTTGCAACCGTAGGTTAGAGTTCTGTCTCTTCTTTCTCAAAACAAACAGAAAAAACACAATAAATATTTCAAACACAATAAAAGACACTTCTTCCGTAAAAGAATGTGAACTCATCAAAACGTCATTTTTGTCCGCTTGGACCAGTAATCAGAAAAACCCTTTTTTAGAAGGAGATAAAAACAATCAAGACAGACTTGTGTCGTACGTGGCCCGAACTACGTTTGCTCTGATCTTTCATGCTGTATGAAAGTACGTAGGCATAGGATGCGATATCCTAGCGAGCAACCTTCCCCTCCTTTCCTGTAGGTAGGCGAACTACGTTGACTTTGATTTCTCGTTCCAGACGGGAATACGTAGGCATAAAGTACGATACTTTACCGAGTCCCTTTATTTCTTTTTAACCCTTAACCCTTAGTCTAGATAGAAATAACAATCCGTACCAGAAAACAAGCGTGGATCCCGTCGAGTACGACGGACGTGAGGGGTGCTAATACCTTCCCCTTGCGTAACCGACTCCCGAATCCAGGATTTGGTTGCGATGACCATTCCTTTCCCGTCTTCGCGGTAGGTTTACGTCAAGCGTTTCCTTTCCCTCCGTTGGGATAAATAACGCACGGTGGCGACTCTTCTGTTCAGCCGGCGCCGATTTTTCGCAGTAGCGACACCCACTACTTTCGTTATTTATTAAGAAAAAGTTTAGCAGAACTAATTAGAATGAATTACGATTTTAATTTAGTTTAAAAGATATTTTAAATCTAAATATTGTCCATAAACAAGCTAGTTAATTAAGATATAATATAGAGATACCAAATAGCAACATTGGAAATTATTATATGCCAAAATATTACTGACAAGAGTGAAATATCAACAATCTACAACATGTAGTGCAGTATCCAAATGCCTAATCATTCGCCTAAATCAGTAACCACGTATGCCACAAAACTCCCAAAATTTGATCAACTATTATCACCATAATCCAACTGAAATCACACTAACGACATATGCAAGGAAATGCACCATAAATATTTTTAAAACTACCAGATTAATTGTGCGTATGAGACTAATTTGCAATGCTTATAATTTTATATTACTAATTTGCAATGCTTATAACTTTATCAACATAACAGGGGATAATGACACGCAATAACTTCATCGATATTCTTACGAAACCATAAAGTAACAAAGAATAGTTTCAGTTAGTGTTGCACAAAGAAAATAGGCATCCATAAATATCTTGAACAGAACAAAACGTCAACAGATAACCTGCATCTAGTGTATGAATACTTTAAAATTTAACTTCAATGTCGATAACATGAAGCAACAGTTAAATTTCAGATATATAAACAAAGAAGCTAGTTAAATTTCAATGACATTACTCTGTATGTTATTCCAAAGCAAACAAAGAAGCTCAATATCAAACATATAAACTGGTAGCACATGACCTTAACCGTTACCGTAATGTCGAGCCGTAGTTGAAGCTAGTCAAAAGACATGGATGTTTCCACCATGCTGTGTTGTACGCTGAGCTGAAATGTCTGTGTTGTTTGTAACATCTGAAGCTTTTTGCTCAAACAAGCAAACTGCACCTTCAGAACTCCATATGCGCGCAATGCCTCGCTCACCAACAATAACAAGATGCGTTGCTTGAGAACCAGAATGTTTTTTTTTTGAATTTTTCCGATATGAATCTAATGGTGAAGCAAAAGGACTCCCAGCACCAATAGGACAGACAGATTCAACTGCCTCGTTTGTGATGACAGTCTTCTTGCTACTATACTCATGAAGATCCCACAATGTTACAATCTTATCTCTTCCAGAACTGAGCAGTGTCCATCCGTCTTCAGATACTGCAATGGAAGTCACTGCAGAGCGATGATTATCTAGGATTGCAATGCAGGTCTTTCTCTTCGCGTTGGAAATATCCCAAACCCTTACAGTTGCATTATCACCCCCATCATCCTTGCAAGCAAGATATTCATTAATGATTCCCATGCTTTCAGCCCTTTCATATACTGAGAAGAGATGTGGCCGGAAAGGGTGAATTACGAATGTCATGCCGACATTGAATCGGTACCAAAGTCCCTGCACACGAATGAAAATACAGCCAAACAGAGCAGGAAACCAATACAAAAAAAAAATAAAAACGAAAAATAAAGAGTTAAGTGGATACATAACCCATTCACTCTTCTCGCTCATTTCTATCTCCATAAACTGGTCACAGCTTGACACACACATAACCGAAATCAGCTTGCCGCAGTTGTCGCAAAGTTGTTGATGCGAAAGCCTCATAGTTGCACTTGTTGTGGTTGCAAAGCTAATGGCGTAGACGTCGTTAATTTAGAGCTTTGACAGTCTCGAAACAGAACCGCTGATTCTACATCACTTCCATTGATTGGCTTTCAACCTGCAGATAGTTGGCGAAATCGTTACTGAGATTGTTGTTGTTCATGGCTCGGGATTTGGACAGCACGAGCATAATATCCTTCTACCTGCAATCACAAACCTAAAACCTCCAATAACCTACAAATGAATAACATCGAACAGCCAGCACAAAAAGCCAAGTGATTCCTGCTTCACATACAAACCGTGACCCCACACCATACCACCAGCCTGCTACCTTCATGACCAAATGTTGCTACCACTACTCTAAAAAGAAAAAAAACATACAGTACAACCGAGCCAAAACTTTCAACCACTCATATAAAAAACAACTCTTTACTTTTGGCCTTGCGATAACTAAGCATTAAATTTGGATCAAATTACCTTCAAAGCCTCATGAGACAACCATAAACCTTTGTAGAATTCCACACTACACCACTGTGCAAAACATACAATAATACGCACCTTCAAACCACAAAGTGCGACAACCAGTATGCGAAAAAAAACTGCAGAAAATGACACAGTAACATAGCAGCAACAGAGGTACAAAAATGAATAAAACAACGAGCGCACACCACAATCTACGAAACACACACAACCATACAGAAATTTCAAAACGACACGAAGCAATGGAAAAAAAAGGAAAGGTACCCTGTTATATGTCCATATTAATTTCAACAACAAAACAGCGCCAAGACCATTAAAACACTATAAGTAGTCAAGGGTTAAGACAGAATTGAAACAATAGAGTGGAAAAACAAGATTATCAGAATATCAAAACAGAAGAATTGCCTAAACAAACAAACAATTTCAATGATACAACAGGGTATTTACATTTGTTAATCTATTTCAGAATCATAAACATCATTTCACAATCAACAACTTGGAAGCTAACAACGTCACTAACACGCACAATTCAGCAGTTACTCTATGATATCGAAAACGTGAAAATAGGATAAGCAAAACAAACAGACTCAAATTGGAAGAAAAACCAACCGACGAAAATGGACTCGAGAAAGAGCAACGTTGCTCGAGTCGTCGCAAACGCCGAAGAATATTGCTACTGAGATACCGAGTCTGTGTTGCTTCTGAAACGAACTTTGTGCACAACTCCAAACGCTGAAAGCCACTACAAATACCAGCTGAAATTATTGATGTGTAAAACCACTATTGTCTCCGTGGAAGTTCGATGGTGAAATACTTTCACTATGCAATCAGAATCCGGCGGCACCGCAAACTCGTCGTATTCGTGCGATTCTGTTGAAGGGGAAGTCTAGGCTGCAGCATAGGCCTTGGATTTGCGGTTGATTGATTTAGGAGCCAAAGGGTTATGAGGTAGAGGGTTGGCTTGGCCTTCTTGTAAGTAAGGTGTCAAGCCAAACTGCAATTTGCTCTGTCCATATGGAGGTAGACCAACCACAGTTTGAGCTAATGTTTGCGGAGTCTGACCAATGTGGCCTTCATTTATTAACTGTGAGGTTTGATCTGAACCTTGTCTAAGATTTTCCATTTGTAGCATTAAGGGGGTGACCATTCCTAGCATTATCTGAGCCTGGAAAAGAGCCTTAGGCAACCGTGGCCTTGAAAGCAACAACTGACGGGACAACTCCTTGTTGTGTATAGCCATTCCCTTAACCTCGGAGATCATCTCAGTCAGCTGGCTCCTGGACATTTTGGACAGATGCAAAGTTAAAGCATCATTTGTCAATGCTGACTGATTTTGCAAACCGCTTTGATTTGATTGGGTGCCAGTCTGAGCACCACCAAGAGCTGCAGTCATGACAGCTGCAACTGTTACGGCAAAATGAAGACCAATAGGTTGATGTTGAGCTGCTTGCGCAGATTCCCCTTGGACAGCTGGGATGCCTACTTGTTTCTGAGGGTCAACAATTGGCGTCATTCCTGGTCCTCCACGACCCTGATCTTTATTTCTATCGTTCCCTTTATCGTTTTCGGCAAAATCAACACGTAATTGACGCCCATTAATATCATAGCCTTGAAGATTCCTACGAGCACTTAAAGCCGTCTCTTCATCCTTATACTCACAAAATCCATAACCTTTAGGTTTCCCAGTTTCTCTATCAATGACTAATCTGAATGAAATAACGGGACCAACTTCCTGGCAGATTTCAATAAGTTGTTCTTCCGTTGCATCATATGGTATATTCCCAACGAAGACACAGCGATGTTGAGCCTGAGAGGAGGCCATGAAACGATTAACAAGAGAAGAAGAAGGTGAAGCTTTGCTCCATCTTTTTCTTCCTCACTACCATGTTTTGTTCCCAAAACGCTCCGTTTCGATCTTCGGCAAGGGTTTATTTTTCATGATGACAGAAGGTGTGCGAATATGAGAAAGGCGGTGGGTGAGTTTGAAGGAGAACAATGAAGCTCGCGTTTTGAGAGGGAAGGAGAAGAAGAGATGGGGTTTTCGCGGTTTGGGAAGAGGAAGGATTCGTGGAGGGAAGAAGAATGGCGTAGAAGCTGAAGGGTAGCTCGGTGGCGGCTGGAAATTGAAGATTGAGAGAGGGCAATGATTTGAGAGAATGAAATAGGGAAGGATATGGCGTTTTCGGTGAGGAGAAGTAAGGAGAGGGTGGGTGATGGAGCGGCGCCGATTTGGGAGAGGGGGAAGAGATGAACAGTAATCCCCAAATTAGGGTTTCTGAAAGGGGAAGGTTTTCTAGGGCTGCCCTTCAGAATTAGGGGCGGCCGTTTTCTCTTAGGTTTTGTGAACAGTGCCCTTATTTTTTAGGGTATGGTGAACAGTGTTGCTTATATAACCCCAAAAAAACCAAACCTAATTCCAACGTGTCCCTCAAACAAATTAATTTTCATTTTTTTTAAAACATTTTCTTTTAATTTATTTTTTCTGAATAATAACTAAATTAAAAACCTATTTTCCTATTTAATTTAATTCTAACCATTAATTACAAATTTAAATCTAAACTACTTAATTAAAATCTAATCTAAATTTTTAAAATAAATCCTAATTAAATTCTAACTCTATTTTTTAATCTATATTTTTTAAAATTAAAATTTCTAAATTATAATTAAGTTCTAAATTAAATCCATCTAATTAAAAAACAAATTTAAATCCTAATTTCTAATTCAAAACTAATAAAAAACATTATATTAACCTATCACGAAAAAAAAAGAAATTATATAAAAAAAGATAGATATATATAAAAAGCAAATGCCACGTGGCATACTCTTATTGGGGCTAAAAAGCGAAAATACCTGCTTTTGCTGAAAAATACGCTACGCTGTATAAGCGAGGTAAATTAAAAACAAAGTCGGGCAAATGAGAAATTTTGAAAAATAGGTAGGACAAATTTGGTGTATGACAGATGCCCATATCTAATTGCCTTGAACCTGAGAGAATGAACAACTGCATGGCGTTCATTCTTAGGGTGGAAGTCAAATAGATACAAGAAGACCCCAAAATTTGTCCAACAAGGAAGTAAAAATGCAAAGAGGTGGGATATACCTGAACGGGATGACAAGATGCAAAATAGATGAACGAGATAACCTGATATTCCCTGGGTGGTCGAAGCAGTCCCTTATCCAATAAGGTTCTTCGCGGTACCAGAGTGGTATAAATGATCCTCCTTGGGTGGTCGAAGCGGCCCCTCACTCGTTAAGGTCCTTCGATGATACCAAAGTGGTATAAACAATCCTCCTTGGGTGGTCGAAGCGGCCCCTCATTCGTTAAGGTCCTTCGATGATACCAAAGTGGTATAAACAAAACTTGAGATTCTTCGGGTGGTCGAAGCAGTACCTTATCCACTAAGGCTCTTTGATGATACCAAAGCAGTATCTCTGATCAAAACTTGAGATTCGTTGGGTGGTCGAAGTAGTCCCTTATCCCATAAGGTTCTCCGATGATACCAAAGCAGTATCTCTGATCAAAACTTGAGATTCTTCGGGTGGTCGAAGCAGTCCCTTATCCCATAAGGTTCTCCGATGATACCAAAGCAGTATCTCTGATCAAAACTTGAGATTCTTCGGGTGGTCGAAGCAGTACCTTATCCCATAAGGTTCTCCGATGATACCAAAGCAGTATCTCGAACAAAACTTGAGATTCTTCGGGTGGTCGAAGCAGTACCTTATCCATTAAGGCTCTTTGATGATACCAAAGCAGTATCTCTGATCAAAACTTGAGATTCTTCGGGTGGTCGAAGCAGTCCCTTATCCCATAAGGTTCTCCGATGATACCAAAGCAGTATCTCTGATCAAAACTTGAGATTCTTCGGGTGGTCGAAGCAGTACCTTATCCCATAAGGTTCTTCGATGATACCAAAGCAGTATCTCTGATAACTTGAGATTCTCCGGGTGGTCGAAGCGGCCCCTCATTCGTTAAGGTCCTTCGATGATACCAAAGCAGTATCTCGAACAAAACTTGAGATTCTTCGGGTGGTCGAAGCAGTCCCTTATCCCATAAGGCTCTTCGATGATACCAAAGCAGTATCTCGAACAAAATATGAGATTCTTCGGGTGGTCGAAGCAGTACCTTATCCATTAAGGCTCTTCGATGATACCAAAGCATTATCTCAAACAAAATATGAGATTCTTCGGGTAGTCGAAGTAGTACCTTATCCCATAAGGCTCTTCGATGATACCAAAGCCGTATCTCGAACAAAATATGAGATTCTTCGGGTGGTCGAAGTAGCACCTTATCCATTAAGGCTCTTCGATGATACTAAATCAGCATCTCGAACAAAACTTGAGATTCTTCGGGTGGTCGAAGCAGTACCTTATCCACTAAGGCTCTTCGATGATACCAAAGCAGTATCTCGAACAACACTTGAGATTCTTCGGGTGGTCGAAGCAGTCCCTTATCCATTAAGGCTCTTCGATGATACCAAAGCAGTATCTCGAGTGATAATTTTGCTGAGGAATAGTTGAGCTAAAATTCCTATTAGAGGAACAACGTTGTCCAAACTCTGCAGGGGAGAAATCTTCAATAAACTCTCTAAGATAACCTCTGCTTGGGGAACCAATAGTTGCTGGGGATTATCAGCATCAACTGCATGGTTGAAGAATGACTTGTTGGGGAGTAGAATTCCCTGAACTCGTGGGGTATTAACTCATTTTAGAGTCATACTGCCAACTTCACTGGAGGACTAACCAAGATACTCGCGAACTGATCCTGGATCCTGCCATATTGCTATGCAATGTAATGTTTTATGATGGCCAAACATGCAACTAAGGCGCAACTGCTAGGGAGTGCATGATGCGAATGCAAATGATATGTTAACGCTTGATATGATTATGTATGTCGTGCTTATGATAATGCAGCGACCAGGTATGCTGGGGATGAAATCCTGTCGGGGACATCACCAGGGACTGGATTCGGTAATTGCCAAATGGTTTGGACTTTTGGTTATTGAGGATGCCAACGAGGGTGGACTTTTAGTGGTTGCCAAATGGATTGGACTTTGGTTATTGAGGATGCCAACGAGGGTGGACTTTTAGTGGTTGCCAAATGGATTGGACTTTGGTAGTTGCCAAACGAAATTGGACCTTGAAGGATTTGTTTCGGTTACAAAGCTCTGACAGGTATCAGGTCCAAGCTGTGGGGTGAAACCTAATGACAAAGAGGCTCTTTCAGGAGGTTAAGGTTATTTGGTGGGGTGATGGCATGATTCCCCGACACTCAACTTTTGCTGACAAGAATAAACTTTCTTGAGTAATTGCCCCAATATGGTTCAATTTGCCCTAGTTTGGGTCTATGAAGGAATTTTCCTTGAACGGAAATTGGAAGCAATCATACCATGAGACGAACTCGAGATGGCTCGCCCCAGCATTCCAAGTCGTGAAAGGAAGTTGGAAACAGTTGTACCATGAGATGAACTCGAGATGGCTTGCCCCAGCATTCCACATCGTGAAAGGAATTCGGACGCAGATATACCATGAGATGATCTCGAGATGGTTTGTTGCAAATTTTAATCAGGAAAGGGTTTTGACCTTGATTAACTGACCCTTGGGGTAATTGTCTTCAAATTATTCTTGAGGTAGTCTGCTCCAGAATGAGCGTTGAAGCGACATGACTTGTGCTGATTGAGCGTTGGAGGGACTCTCCCTTAATCAAACGAAACTCTGGGTAGCCTGCCCCTTGTTGGATCCTTTGCAGAAGTGGTATACTCGTTCTGGTAAGAACCTAGCTTCTAGCTGATATGTCATGACAGCTTACAAACATTGAGCGTAGCGACTCATCCAGAGCATTTTGACTGTGCGAGCGTAGCGACTTAACCAATGCGTGTTAATCGTACGAGCGTAGCAATTTAACCAATGCATATGGATTGCATGAGCGTAGCGACTTAACCAATGTGTTTGGGTTGCGCGAGCGTAGCGACTTAACCAATACGTATTAGTCGTGCTTTTGCTCTGCCCCAAGGCCTTTGACGTTTGTTGACCTCAACCATCAGCTAGTCTGCCCCAAGTTCAAACAGTGCGCCCCAGTCTAGCAGGTGTTTGAAGGACTTTCTTCTGCGATGAGAACCTTGGCGGTGATTATACCAGGATATGGTTTGAACCCATTTGCCCTAGTGTCTGGACCCTGTAGTGGTTTGCCCCGATTTAAACCTCAGAAGGACTTGCCCCAGGTTCGTAAGGTTAGGAGCAAGTCTTAATTCAGGTCAACACCAATGAGTGATCGAGTTCCCCTTTGATTGTTCCTTTGTTGGAATTTCCATAATGCCAAGTACTGATTTGCAGTTAAAAGTGTTTATTCAAAAATGGTAACTTTAATGCGACATTTGTGCAAGTTTTGAAAATATCATTTATTGGGAATGATGTGGTAGTGTGTGACGAGCGGACTATTAGTCCAAACGCAGTGCTAATTTATCTAGTGCGAAAGATATAGCAAGAATAATGACACTAATGCTGGCGATTAGCAATCATGTGAGGAGTCAGGTTACGCAACCTTGCTGTAGTTATGCTTTCAGAATAAAACCCCGCCTCAATTAGGTCTTTTAAGGGTTGTATCGTGGTTTGGTTCACGGTTATAGAAACAAAGGATATTAGGCTCAAAGTTTGATTTAGTACCCCCCTTCTTCGTGATAATCTCCATACCTACGTTCAGTTAATTTTGCACCTGCTTGACGGTGTAAACTTGATGGTTCAAGGTTCGCTCGAGATGACAGTCACCTTATTTTGCTCCTTGATGGATGTCAGTGCCCCTTGATTTGGGTGGCCACTGAATCTTAT